CCCTAAATAAATAAAATCTTAAGAAAAAAAAAATAAAAAGGACTTTTTAAAAAAAATAATAAGTTCATTAATTTGAGAGAGCAAGAGCATGGGGGGAAGGGCAGGGAGAGGGACAAGCAGACTCTCCGCTGATCAGGGAGCCCAGTTCAGGGCTGAGATTGTGACCTGAGCTGAAATCAAGAGAGTTGGCTGGTTAACTGACTGAGCCACCCAGGGACCCCATTTTTTTTTTTTTTTTTTTTTTTTATTTTAAAGTACTCTCCACACGCAATGTGCAGCTTGAACTCACAACCTTGAGATCAAGTCACATGCTGTACCCACTGAGCCAGCCAGGCACCCCTGGGTCACACTTTATTTCTCTGTTTCATGATTTTTGTTGGAATGGGGCAATTTAAAGTAACATCTGGCAACTCTGGGATTCGGATTTAACAGCTCCCCCAGGGTCTCTTGTTTTTGATGTTAGTTTGGTGACTTTCTAGGACTGATTCTGTTAAGTCTATATTCTTTGTCGTGCATGGTCACTTAATTGTGTGTTGGGGGCTAAGCTTCCAATGCTCTCAATGGGTGGTTTACAGCTCTACTTGAGCCTTTACTTTCTGCTTGCTCAAAGCCCCCAAATCAACCAGAGGTGACAGATTAAGGCCTTCTAAGGTCTTTCCTAGGCATGTGATAACGTTATATGTAGTCATGGCCTTCTGGGTCACCAAGACTGTGTGTTTTTCATTCTCCAGGTTTTTTAAGTCTTTTGGTCAGCGTCTTGTTAGCTCCACTTGATATCACAGCCTCAGGTAGCTGTGATTTCCAAATTGCCCCTAATTTTTCTTGACAGATGCCCTCAGGATGGGCTGTTTGTACAGATCAAGCTCTGAATCAGGTCAAGTTGAGACAAGTCCCAAGGATAGAGCTTTTCAGTGAGCTGCCAGATAGGTGATAGGTCAAATTGTGGCACTTTGCTCGGGATAGGGATTTGGAGGCACTCCAGACCTGTTCTATCCTCTGCCATGGTTGCCAGGTTGTAGGTTTCACAGGTATTTATATATAGTTGCAAGACTGCTGGTTTTGAAGGCTACCTTGCTGGTCTGAGGGGAATGGGAATAGGGCAAATTAACAAGCCAACGGGCTCATTGTTCCTACTGAGATTCAGCCAATTTTCTAGAAAAAATACTCCTGGGACCTTGGCAAGTCTGGTTTAACTCCAGAGTTTTGAAAATGTTGGTGTTGATGTTTGCCAGTGTTTTCATTGCTTTTAGGTAGATTTTCTGAAGTCCTTATTCCACCCTTCCAGAAGTGTTTCATCTTTCACTCCCCACCCAACACATTTTGACCGTGTCTCTTCCTGCTCTCCTGGATCTGTTTAAACTGCACTGGCATTGTTCTTTGAACACACCAGGCATGCTTCTGTCATCAGGCTTTTGCACCACTCTATCAAAAATATTTTCTCCTCTTGGTGCTGCAGTTCTCACCTCCCTCCGGTTTTTGCTCAGATGTTACCTTCTTAGTGAGGCTTTCCTTGACCACTCTACTTATCTTTGGGAACCATCTTATTTAGAGTTGCAATCTACTAAGTCTTCTCAGGCTTCCTTTTTGATTTGCTTTCTCCTTAACATTTATCATCCTCTAAACTGTTAAGGAATTTGCTCACATTAATTTTTTTACTACCTGTTTCCCTAGCTAGAACCCAGGATCCATTAGGGATTTTTTTTCCTCTGTGTGTTGACCTCTGCATCTTTAGCACCTAGAATACCTGGCTCAAAGTTAATGCTCCATAAATATTTACTGAATGAATAAATGTTAAGGGTTATACAAATGTAGTTTTTAAAAAGGCTGTAAAGCAGTCTGATTAGCAGAAATTACACATCCCTTTAGTAAATATGTATTCTTACACAACTAGTATTATAAAACAGTTTCAATGCTCAATGATTACATGGTCTCTGTTGTCTCACGTCTAGGGGGCATTTACTGGAGGCTTGATGTAGTGGGGTTGGGTCCCAGGCAGGTGATGGCATGGAGAACTTTCTTTATATTATATATGTTATTTAATTGGCTGTTTTGTCTTGTTGACCATTAGCCAAAGGGTTTCTTCATTTTCTGAGATACTCAGTCTGTTTTCTAAAGAACTCTTGGGTTTTCATCCTCTGCTTTTTCCACCTTCCTAGGGACTAGAAACCAATTGATACAGTTGGGAGGAGTTTTTATTTGGGCGTTGTTATCAATTTCTCCCACAAAAATGTATTCAATGTTTTGTATATTATACTATTAAATAGGAGGTAATATTGAAATGGATGTGACATTGTCGCCTGCTCAAAAAATTTACAACTTTGGGGCACTTGGGTGTCTCAGTTGGTTAAGCATCTGCCTTCAGCTCAGGTCATAATCCCAGGGTCCTGGGATCGAGCTCCACATCAGGCTCCCTGTTCAGCAGGGAGGCTGCTTCTCCCTCTCCCTCTGCTGATGCCCCTGCTTATGCATACTCTAATAAAGAAATAAAATCTTAAAAAAAAAAATTACAACTTTGAGAGAAGTTGATGTAAGACAGAGCTCTTTCTTTGGTACTTATTTCTTCCTTTGTTTCATATACTTAATCTGTGTATGTGCCTTAATACCTGTCCCCAACTGTAAACTCCTTGAGGGAAAGGAATCGTATCTCTTTCTTTTTGTATCACTTGCAACTTGAAAAATTAAATATTGAATTATTGCACGGATATTCTTTTTAGTCCACGAAGTTCAGGAAAACATTAGGTGGTTCTAAAGATTAGTAGTTGGGCAAGGCTTTGCAGAGGACGTGGGTTCAAGCCCGAAGTGTATTTTAGTTGGAGAAGAGCTAGAGCAGTGTTGGGGAACAATATAGATAGCGTATTTAGAGATCAGTGAATGAGTCAGGTGTGTTTAAGTGGAGGTTATGAGAGAGAGAGGGTGTGTGTGTGTGTGTGTGTTTGAGGGAAGGAGGGACAGCTTGTGCTTGAGCCTTCTACTTCTCATGTGACTTTTACAGAAGTCCTTTTACTTATTTCTGTATCTGCAGTTAAACCAAAAGAGTTAGACTTGATGAGTCTGGCTCTAAAATTCATTCCTTTTTTAAGGTCAGGAGTTTATTTAGTAAGCAGCGGTAATCAAGTTGTTTTTTTGAGTAAGTCAGTAATGACTAAGGAGTATTTTAGGGCTTTTGGGAGATTCATAAATGTTCCAAATAAAAGAAACTGGAAGCAGGTAGATCGGTTATTCATCTTAGTAGTTTGACTATAAATCCTGAGTTAAGATCAGGGCAATGAGAATGAAGTTAACAAAAGAGATGTTGTGAAGACTGGTAAGGTTTACTTCTTGGGTGGGAGAAGCAGAAAGAAGTGAAAATATTTGTTTGAAATTAAATGAACTGAGGGTGACATGTGGAATATTAGGAGTGAACATCCCAATCTACATTTTGGTTGTGATAGGGAGTGTGTGGAGAGGATCAAGCCTGGTGGAAAGATAAAATTTAATTTTAGACATGTCTAACTGCTGCTGTAGATAAAATAGTTGAATGAAAATAAGACCTAGGACATACCCACTTCTCCCAGTGGTCTCCCAGTGACCACATTAATGCAGAAGAATATACAAAGGACAGTGAACTACTTGAGGAAGTGTGAGTGGGGATGAGAGCTTCTGGGATACCTGGGGAAGATGGTGACTGAGGTGCATCTTACACCACAGGTAGAAATTTATTGGAAGGAAACATGCTAATTCCCTTCCCCTTATCTTGTTTGGTGTTAATGGCCTTGTCTCTTCTTTTCAAAAGGATCTACCGTTACCAGTCTCATGACTATGCCTTCAGCAGTGTAGAAAAGTTACTACATTCTCTAGGAGGGGACGAATTCCTTGGAATGCTTAACCGAACACTTCTTGAAACCTTGCAGAAAGCAGGCTTCTCGGAGAAATTCCTCAATGAAATTGTTGCACCTGTCATGAGGGTCAATTATGGCCAAAGCATGAACATCAATGGTTTTGTGGGTAAGCCAAGGCTTGGAATGGTTATAGACATTAGTTCACAGAGGGGCTTACCTCTGGTGGCTCCTAACTTTAGGCCATGAGTTGGAGAAGACTTACCTTTCTCTGAAACCTCAGACATGTTTGGCAAAATTGTGTATATGTAGATCTGTGCGTTTTTAGTGTGGGGTGGGGGAGAGTCCTTAGCTTTCACTGAGATTTTTGCCCCCAGGGGCTCTTTGGCAGTGTCTGGAGCAGACCTCACGTAAATTGGGAAGAGAGTGGGTAGAGGGCTTTTTGCAGAGTCAGAATTAAAACTTTTTTTTTTCCTACCACTGACAGGGGCAGTATCATTGTCCTCTGCTGATTCTGGCCTTTGGGCAGTAGAAGGTGGCAATAAACTTGTTTGCTCAGGGCTCCTTCGGGCATCCAAAAGCAACCTTATATCTGGCTCAGTAATGTACATAGAGGAAAAAACAAGGACCAAGCATACAGGTGAGCCTGAAATTCTACTGTTCCTTATTTATCCTCTAGAAAATAATTGCTTAGGGAGAAAAACCACTCTTCTGTCATTTCTCTGTTCCAAATGATGGAATTATAAATTGTATATGTTGTACCACATGGAAATATTCGCAGATGTGCTCAAGTACAATGGCACATCTCCTTGGATTTAAAAATAATCTCGTTCTTAAAGTATAATTCTGTATATTGTACTTATTGACAAGGTATCATCTCTATACCAGTAGAAAACTGGCTTTAATTTGGCATAGTTATATTAAAGGATAAAACTCTTTTTAATTCCTTAGAATTAACTTACAACTGTTTTACATTTTATAAACTATTACGGTAATAAAATTATTTTTGGAAGGTGTATAGTATGTTAGAAACACTAAAATGTATGCTTCTTTCTTCTAGGAAATCCCACAAAGATGTATGAAGTGATCTATCAAATTGGATCTGAGATCCGTTCAGATGTCTATGACATTGTCTTGGTGGCCACTCCACTGAATCGAAAAATGTCCAATATAACTTTCCTCAACTTTGATCCTCCAATTGAGGAATTCCATCAGTACTACCAACATATAGTGACAACTTTAATTAAGGGGCAGTTGAATTCAACTCTTTTTAGCTCTAGAGCCTTAGACAAATTCGATCTCAGTACAATCTTAACCACTGATAATTCAGATTTGTTCATTAACAGCATTGGGATTGTGTCCTCTGTAACAGAAAAGGATAATCCTCAACCATTAACAGATAGGGGATATGTTTGGAAGATCTTTTCCCAAGAAATTCTCACTAAAGAACAAATATTAAAGCTCTTTTTGTCCTATGATTACGCTGTGAAGCAGTCATGGCTTGCATATCCTCATTACAAGCCTCCAGAGAAATGTCCCTCCATCATACTCCACGACAGACTTTACTACCTCAATGGCATAGAGTGTGCAGCAAGTGCCATGGAGATGAGTGCCATTGCCGCCCACAATGCTGCTCTTCTTGCTTATCACCGTTGGAATGGGCACACAGACATGATTGACCAAGAGGACTTATATGAGAAACTTAAAACTGAACTATGAAATAACACTATCACTTTTCCCCCCTTCTGGTTCCAAATGAAGTTATCACTGGCAAAGAACACAATCTGAGCAGAGATGATTTTGAATTAGCTATTTTGTCATAAATTGGTATTAACAAAAGTAATCCCAGTGAGTTATGAGAAAATACAAGGTTCTAATTAAGTGTGAAGGTGTTAACTACTGCATGTATGCCATCTCCAAAATTTCTTAATTCGTCTTTTAATATCCATCAACAGTGTAGAATCACTTGGGATTTGTTAAACATATGGGTTCTCTAGTTCCTCTGGAGATTCTGATTTTCTAGGTCTAGGGAATGGGACCCTGGATTTTGAACAACACTTTGGAATATTTTAAGCTGAGCATCTGAGGAAGAGTTTAAAAACAAATTTTAGTGGGGGAGTAGATCTCTTGGGCTTCACAGCTGGAAGTGACCTTCAGATAGTTACAACTACTACAAGAACTGGTATCATACGTCTGGCTTTAGTTAATTTATACCCTTTTTCAGAGTAGATGTGCCCATTCCAGGAGGCTTGACTTTTTGAATGTTCTTTGGACTGCTTCTGACTTGATTTTATTAGGGGTGAAATTCAGAAGACTTATTAGGTTAACTTTGTTGCAGAAAAATCTCAAGTAAAATGAAAGCAAATGCAGGGTATTAGTTTAAGAAATTACATTTTCAAATCCTCACCTGTGGAGCTCTAAAAAATATTGCTAGACTCCCATGTGACCAGAGTCTGATTTAGTTGATTGAGGATAGGCGCTCAGCATTGTAGCTAAAAAGTTCCTAAGGTACAACCTGGGTTGAGAATCACTGATGTGGGGGGTTAAGATGTCTCTAAAGGGGGTTCAGTGCCTTAAAAGTCCCAGAAAACCTAATGCATTATTAAAGCAGATTCATTTTGTGAAGAACGATTTCTCTCAACAAGAACTCTAGTAGTAATCTTGACAGTAAGCATTGTCAGTCTGATGACAGAGGCAACTCAGATTACTCCAGAACCACTGACCTTAGAGTAGGATATTCAGAATGATACCACACTTGATCAAATCCTGTCCATGTTCAAACTATTAAATGCTTCTAAAACTACGGTAGCATTTGGGGTTAGAAACTGGTTGCTGTTGGGGTGCCTGGGTGGCTCAGTGGGTTAAAGCCTCTGCCTTCGGCTCAGGTCATGATCCCAGGGTCCTGGGATCGAGCCCCGCATCGGGCTCTCTGCTCAGCAGGGAGCCTGCTTCCTCCTCTCTCTCTGCCTGCTTCTCTGCCTACTTGTGATCTCTTTCTGTCAAATGAATAAATAAAAAAATCTTAAAAAAAAAAAAAAAAAAGAAACTGGTTGCTGAAACCTTGTTTTTAAGGCAGTACTCTACTTTGGCTGCACATTGGAATAACTTTAAGATTTTAAAGCTTTTCAATTCTAATATGCAGTCAAACTTAAGAACCAGTTCTACATCTATTGTATAAAGATATCATGAATGGTTGTCCTTGTAGTCAGTCACTAGTAGGACAGAATGAATAAAAGCTTGTGAATTCTAAAAGTAACTGTAACAAAGTTTAACGTATTGTTGGAGTCCATCAGATTATGGTAGTAGCTACTTTTGCAAAATGGTGTAAGAGAACACTGATCCTTAGTTAAAATAATTTGTCTCTACTACAATTGTGATTAATATGTTGTTAAAACTGCCAAAATATATTTGATGTAAAGGCAGGGATTAAATTTATATTTGTCAGAGGGTCAGCTTTTTAAAAATTCTGTTCTCAACAAGTATGTTAAGAGGCAGTCATATTTTTCCTTTTATGGTTTTAATGAAGACAATATTGTAGAAAATGTAATATTATGTTAATATGTGTGCTAAAGGTAAATAAAAATTGGTAATGGAATAATTTCTATCACTCACAGAGTTGTTTTGCAATAGGATATATTATTTACTTATAAGAACACCAATTTAAAAATGTTGTGATTGTATCAGACCTACTCTGATTAAGTTTTCCAACAGGGAATTTGAAACTGCTTCCTCTAAGAGCAAAATATTACTAATGTATCAGACATAATAGTTTCAATGAAAAGAGCATTAATTTTTTTTTTTACTGGAAGAAAAATACTATCAGAGCCTGTTACTTCATTAGACTACTCAATTTGTCTTTGTATAGAAGAGGCTGGTAAAAATTATGCAGGAGCTAACTCTACTCCAATTCTAGAGCCAATTCTACTCCAGTGGTTCTCCAACTTGAATACACATCACAGTCACCTGGAATGCTTCTTAAAATAACTGCTGGGCCTCACCCCAGAATTTGTTTTAGTGGGTTTGGAGTGGTAGATGAAGACACCATCTCTACTAAGTTCCTAGATGATGCTCTTGGTCTAGGAACCACACTTAGGAGAACGAGTTCTGTAATTTAGCTCTACGTGGTCGCAAAAAAATGTGTCAACATCAGTGAAAATTTAAAGAGCTGCTAGAGAAGGGAATAAAAATGTACTATACTTGACACAAACCCTCCTTATTGTGATTAGACTGGTTTGATCCCTCTCACTATTCTCTGGGTGTAAACATTTTCTATAAACAGAAAATAACATTATAGAGATATATATATAAGCCATCCATTGTGTTGTTTTTCAAGTACCTTACATACTCCCCTCTGTATATCCCATTCTCTACAGTTTTAAGTGATTCAAGATTTGTAGGCTACCAAGCAGATGCTTAGGCTTGTACTTTTTGTGATCACAAAAAGTACAAGCCTAAGCATCTGCTTGGTAGGTTTCTTGAAGTTAGGTTTATGATACCACCATTTGCAATTTATCTTCTGAGTTTATGTGCCATAAAATTTATGACCTAGGTGAATGTATTATGGGGAGCATTACAACTATTCTTTATACTCCACAAAGAACTACAGTACACTGGAATGTTTTTCTCTAGAGTTCTATTCTTGTATGAAAAATTTTTCCCCCTTTATGTTCAAAATAAACAACTGTATCATTACTTCTTGTGTTTTACTTCAATTGCACTATACTTGCAATGTAGATGTACTTGGAAAAAGTCAGTACATCAAAGCTACTATAAGAGTTTTGAAAATTACAGTTAATGTTTCAGAAGAAACCCACTCAGGTGTGCAGGTTCTTTATCTTTGGCATTAGAAGACAGAAAAACAGCATCCTTGCTATGCTTCACGTTTAATCAGATTCTCCTATATTAGTGCATAAAAGCTTCAGAACAAATCAATCTCAACCAAGAACAGTTCATGTTAGAAAAAATTAGAATAAGGGCTAATACTCAATTCTACATTCAGCATGTCTGAGAAAGCATTTTTGGCTATTATAAAAGTTTATTTAACAAAAAAGCTCAATATGAAAATGCACACAATCTGATTTTTATATTGTAGTAAAACAGGTACTATGGAGAGGGGACATGTGGAAGCAGTTGATTCTTCTGATGAACACATCCATTGTTTATACTCGTTCTAAGGCTTCTAACATGATGATACTATTTCCTCGTATTACCTAAAAAGAAAATTTGAAAAGAACATAATTTATTTGCCAGACATCAATGAAAGGATTTTCACAAAATCATTAATGGTTTTTCAGTATTAAAGGTCAGTTTGGGGCGCCTGGGTGGCTCAGTGGGTTAAGCCACTGCCTTCGGCTCAGGTAATGATCTCAGGGTCCTGGGATTAAGTTCCGCATCGGGCTCTCTGCTCAGCAGGGAGCCTGCTTCCCTCTCTCTCTCTGCCTGCCTCTCTACTTGTGATCTCTGTCAAATAAATAACTAAAATCTAAAAAAAAAAAAAAAAAAAAAAGACCAGTTTGTGGGGCTTTTTTCAAGCCGCAGAGATAATGTCTTTTTTTTTTTTTTTTTTTTTTTTTTGAGATACTGTCTTTTAATCATGACAAGTCAGTAAGCCTTTTTAACTCTTTTTAAAAAAAGATTTTATTTATTTATTTATTTTTTGACAGACAGAGATCACAAGTAGGCAGAGAGGCAGGACCCTGAGATCATGACCTGACCGAAGGCAGAGGCTTTAACCCACTTTAACCCACTGAGCCACCCAGGCGGCCCCAGTAAGCCTTTTTAAAGTAAGATATATACTTTTCTTGGATTTAACAAGACTAACAAGTACCCTTTTGAGAATGCTAAGTCTTCAATGATTCACTTCACCTTCTGAACTGCAGTACTCAAACAACATACCCATCTCTGTCCCAAGGGATCCGTTAAGTCAATGTGAAAAATGTACAGCAGAATGTCAGTTTAGGGGTATAAGATCACTTAGAGAACAAACCAGGATGTAAACTGTGAAAAGTATGCTTTGTGAAGATGGCATTTTAGTTGGGTCTTGGAAATAGGGCAGAATTTTGACAGGAAGGTAGAACTCTAAACAAAACTGAGATGAAAAAGTGTAAGGGGATAAAGAAAGAATCGAATTTGAATGTAGTAAAAGGTTATGATGGAAGTAGAAAACAGTTTGTACCCAATCTTAGAAGGCCTCAAACACCAATGTTAAGGTACTTGGAAGACATCATGAAACCGATAATAAGCCAATGAAGTTTCACAGCCAAGGGAATAACCATTATTATTATTATTATTATTTTTAAAAGATTTTATTTATTTATTCGACAGAGATCACAAGTAGGCAGAGAGGCAGGCAGAGAGAGAGGGGGAAGGAGGCTTGCCACTGAGCAGAGAGCCCGACGCGGGGCTTGATCCCAGGACCCTGAGATCATGACCTGAGCTGAAGGCAGAGGCTTTAACCCACTGAGCCACCCAGGCGCCCTGGGAATAACCAATATTTTAATGGGAGACAGTTTATGCGCAGGAAGAGAAGTTATAAAGAAAAGGTCCTAGGAGCACAGTGCCTAATATAGTAGCCATTCCATAAATGAGGACAAGGAAGGATACTCATTAGCATAGGCGAAATAAATGGCTGGAACCAAGTTTAAGATGGGTAGAAAAGTAAGTTAAACTAGAAGGCAAGGAGGCTGCAAACATAAGAAACCCCTGGTGCACTGTAGGTCATAGTAGCCATAGTAGCCAAAAATCAGGTCAAGTAGAGCTGGAAATGAGAGATGAGGAAATAGTAGAAATGGAGGCATTCTGAATAAGATTCTAAGTAGAGCTATGCTTGTAGGCAGCTGGAGTAAAGACAAAGCAAAAAACAAAAAACCCCACCAAAACTTATTTTCTCCCCTCCATTCTATCTGCTTTATTTATTTATTATATACACTGTTATTGTCCTCCTCACCCAAATGTCATTACTATGAGAGCAGATGCAATAACCCCAGTGCCTAAACGGTGGCAGGCACACAGAGGGCTCAGTAAGAACCTGTTAAATAAACAAATGACCCTGCATATTTACTGCAGCTGACAGAAGGGAAAGGAATAGGACAGGTGGAACAGTGTCTTGGGAGCCTGGTAGAAACAAACAGCAATGGTATGATGAGGTGGTGGTGAAGGGCAGCATGAAGAGAAAACAATGCCCTGAAAATGATGGTGGGGACTGAAGGAGCCTAGAGTTCTCTAAGTTAGGGATGGAAAGGAGAGCTAAACAACAGCACAAAATAGTTCTCAGGGGTTTAATTCCTGGCTTATTTGCAAAAGATGGTATACAACACATCTCACTGATCAAAACATGAAAAACTGCTACCCTTCTTTCCTCCCTCTCCCTTAAATGTGTCCACTTCTGACCCCAGAAAGGGGAGGGTGGCAGAGAAGTTATTCCAGATAACTAACATTTTCAGATCTGAGGCTTTTGGGGGCATTATAAAAAAGACAAAATAAAACACGGTGACTTTCATCAATATTTTCTAAAATAGTGGGTACTGCACCTGTCTTTGCATACCACATATCACATGCATAAGGCTAGTGGGTGGACACCTCTGCTGTATAGTAATCTTCCTATTTTCTCCTTGTGTTTAGGCCTAATTCTCCAAATCAAACTGAAACCGTTAGGTCCAAAATTCCATAGTGCTCCTTTTGTGTTTCAGTGCTAGTTTTTACAAAATGCTGCTCAGACTTTGTCTTTTGAAAGGGCACAGCTATCTAATAAAGAATATAAACCTAAAATGGAACTATAGAACCACAAAGCTAGTGAGAACCCCTGAACTACGCAGCATCTTAATACAGAATTTTTACTATGTTCTTAGGGGAACTCTGGGGTGGAGTGAAATCTTAAAGGATTAAGACAGAAGTGAGGCCACTGACAACAATGGGGATGTTTCACAGGAAGCCAGTTGAGACATCATTAGATAATCTCCCAGCTGACAGGTCCCTCATACAAACTATTTCCCCCTTAGAACACATTCTTTTTTTTTTTTTTTTTTTTAAGATTTATTTATTTATTTTAGAGCACACAGGTGGGAGAGGGAGTCTTAGGCAAACTCTGTGCTGAGCAAGGAACCCCATGCAGGGCTCAGTCTCATGACCCTGAGATCACAACCTAAGCCAAAATCAAGAGCCAGAGGTTCAAATGAATGTGCCACCCAGGCGCCCCAGAACACATATTCTTAATACTACTCTAAATATAACAGCATTACGTAATTTCAATGGCCTCAATGGGTCACTGACTTGGACAAGGAAATAGCAAAGCCAGTGTACAGTCTCCTTTGCCAAACAGCTTGTGAAAACAAAACCGTAACCCATTTGCTTTTCTTCCAACCTCAGAAAAAACATTCTTGCGTTTTCTTTAAAATGTCTTTTTAGGGATGTCTGGGTGGCTCAGTCAGTCAAGCATCTGCCTTTGGCTTGGGTCATGATCTCAGGGTCCTGGTATCAAGTCCTGCATTGGGCTCCTTGGTCAGCAGGAAGACCACTATACACACTGCCTGCCACTCCCCCTGCTTGTGCTCACTTGCTCTCTGTGACAAATAGATAAATAAAATATTTAAGACAAACAAAAAGCCCTTTAAAATGTCTTTTAATTGGGGGCACCTAAGTGGCTCAGTCAGTGAAATGTTTGCCTCTTGATTTCGGTTCAGGTCATGATCTAAGGATCCTGAGATCAAGCTCTGTGGGAGCACCATGATGGGTGTGGAGCCTGCTTAAGATTCTCACCCTCTGCCCCTCCCCCCTGCTCTCTCTCTCTCTCTCTCTCTCAAAAAGTCTTTTTATTAAGGACAGCTAATAGGTTGTCATTGTTCTGTTTTTTAATGATTTATTAGAAAGAAAGAGCACAAGTGTGCAGCTGGATGGGCAGAAAGAGAGAAGTAGACTCCCTGCTTAGCAGAGAGGCTGATGTAGGGCTTGACCTCATGACCATGAGATCATGACCTGAGCCAAACACTTAAATCACTGAGGCACCCAGGTGCCCCCCATTATTTAATTTTCAAAATGTTAACTCAGCTGCAACAATTACTGCCTACTAATACAAACTTTTTTGGTCATACAACAAGCATCAGAGGTGGAAGAGATGACTGGTTATGAGCACCTACTTACATGATAGGCAATTTCTGTATAAAGACTAAGCCCATTAAAATTTAGGGGGAAAAGTCTGAGAAAGATCCATGATCTAGGTTCAATTCCTTCTCAGATAAAATTCTAATTAGTGTCATGTAATTCTCTGAAAAGTTATCTTCCCAAATTAGAACTTTTAGATATCAAAGTCCTTCTTCAATATTTTTAGCAAATCTGTTGAGACAGAAACTAAAAACATAATTTACCCTCCCCTAGAATAAGATTACTGAATTTGTAAAAGGAAAGGGTAGAGAGGAATCATGGGGTGTGTGTGTGTGTGATGGTATTTAAAAACCATTTTTTTTTTTTTAATTTGACAGAGATTACAAGTAGGCAGAGAGGCAGGCAGAGAGAGGGGAGGACGCAGGATCCCTGCTGAGCAGAGAGCCTGATGTGGGGCTCCATCCCAGGACTCTGAGATCATGACCTGAGCCGAAGGCAGAGGCTTTAACCCACTGAGCCACCCAGGCGCCCCTTAAAAACCATTTTTAGAATAATCTGGCTGCTAATGATTTGCCCATAGTTTTGTTCATTTTCAATGGAAGCTCAAGGATAATGTCCCTGAAAGGAAGGTCTATTTGCATAAAACTTGGGGAGGTGGGGTAGAAGCCTCATATCAAGGGATTCTCCAAGCTGTTTTTCCAGCCCAGACCACTGATTTGGTTTTCTTTTCTTTTTTTTTTTTTTAAAGATTTTAATTATTTGTCAGAGATAGAGAGCGTGCACAAGCAGGCAGAGGTGGAGAGAGAAGCAGGCTCCCCACTGAGCAAGGAGCCTGATGTGGGACTTGATCCCAGGACCCTAGGACCATGACCTGAGCTGAAGGCAGTGGCCTAACCCACTAAGCCACTCAGGCATCCCACTGATTTGGTTTTCAAATGAAAATGCATTTGAAAGGAGCAATAACATACATCTTGGAAAGAGTGATTAAAAAATTGTGAGGCCACAAAAACAAAACAACAACAACAACAAAAAACAAAAACAAAAAACCAGGCTAACAATCAGACTCTTACTACTTTTTTTTCTCTTACCACATTTTAGAGATCTTTATGTTCAGTGACTTCCTAAAGCAAATTTCCTTTTTGATTTACTTTTCCCAAGAAACTGGGGACTTACTAAAACTTAATGGTCACATTGTCCTGTGCTGGACGAAGAGTGGGATTCAAAGTCTGGGTCTTGGAAACAACCATCAAATCATTCAAAGACTACAGGCCCCTATTATAAAGCTCAAAAATGATTTCCTACAGCTGTTTCAAGTCCAAGGCACTCAGAGGGTTCTGCTTAAGATTCAGATCTAACCTATAGGTAACTGGGATACTATCACAGTTGAATGACTACCATATGTCAAACAAAATGGGATATGGAAAGTCTGACTTTACCTGTTATTTGCCTAATTTCAATTTAATCCAAGACTTTGATAGGAAATTAATCCTTATTTCAAAATATGAAATCTCCAGGAGAAAGCTTCTATCTTTACTTACCACCATTCCAATATTGTTCTGTTGCCCACTAGTTGCCATCTCCACACATTCATCTATCACAAGATTCATAAATGGATCGAACCCCCGTAATATTCCTTGAACATGTCTGCCACCATTTAATTTCACTATAAAAAGGGAAAAAGTAGTTTAAAACTGACCAATAAATATCAACTACTCATTAAAAATTAGGTGGAATAAAACCCAGGTACTTGAGAAATATAATCCTATCCTTACTTTATGTCAAGCAATGGGCTAAACAAATCACACTTACTTCCACATTTAAATTTACAAAAATCCAGGCTAGGGCGGGATGGGTAAAACAGAGGATGGGGATTAAGGACTGCACTTGTGATAAGCACCAGGTGTTGTATGGAAGTGCTGAATCACTATATTGCACACCTGAAACTAATACAACACTTTATATTAACTATTTTGGAATTTAAAAAAAGGGTAAATACAAAAAAAACCCCTTACAAAACCTATCAAGTAGAATTATCCCAACTTTTCACAAGGGAACTGAAGTATAGAGCTTCTTAAAAAACTGGTTCAAGCTATATAGGTAATGTGGGCTACAGCTGGGATTGAAAGGGAAGGCTGCTTGCCTCTGTAGCCCAGGTCTTTACCCCTACTATCCTTCTAGCATTGTATAGGTCAGAGTTTTAGTTCTGGTTCAAGTCCTTTGTTCTTAAAGGAAAAAATGTTGATATATTTGCAACTATCACAAAACAGGAAAATACCATAATTTTGTCTAAGTCAGGGAAGGCTTAAAGGAAATCATTTAAAGTCCAAAAGTACTGTGCAATTTATTAAATATCAGAAACTAGGTATATAAAATTGTCTGCATAGGATTTTGATAAACCTCCTTAATTAATGGATGTGAATTAGAGGTTCTGCGTGACTTAAATTTTTGTGAAGTTGTGCCAAACACGATATACTGCCAAGACACATGTAGAAAGCAACCAATTAAAAATAAAACAAAAAACCCCAAGAAACTTACATGATAATTTCTTGTCCATAAATCTGAAAAAGCAAAAAGGGGTACAAATTATATAACTGATTAAAAAAATTTTTAAAAAAGATTTTATTTATTTATTTGACAGAGATCAGAAGCAGGCAGAGAGAGGAGGAAGCAAGCTCCCTGCTGAGCAGAGAGCCTGACGCGGGACTCGATTCCAGGACCCTGGGATCATGACCTGAGCAGAAGGCAGAGGCTTTAACCCACTGAGGCACCCAGGTGCCCCCTGATTAAAAAATTTTAAGCACAAGTAAGCATAAAGTAGGTACAGTCAATAGAATTTGCTAAAACTGCACAATAAAAATGATGAAATTTAAAATAGTAAAAAACTTGTATTCTTGTAGAGAAGGGAATAATGGGCTACCTTATTTAGCACTTACACAATGTAATTTGGGAAGGGGCAAAATAATAAAAGTAAATCCTAAAAAAGATTATTTTTAAATAATCTCTACACCTAACATGGGCTCACAACCCAGAGATTAAGAGTTATATGCTCCACTGACTGAGTCAGCCAGGGACCCCTTGACAACTGGGTTTTAGAGCCGTAACAGAAAAACAATGATCTGTTTATATTTTGGTTATTACCAAAACCAAACAAAGTTGTGAGGAAACTAGAAGGCAATCAAACCATATTCAATTCAATAGCTATTTTATTTTATACTTGAGACAATAGAGTGTTATTTTATTTAATATTAAGCATCACACTTAGGTGTTCAAGATATTCCTCAACACGTATTTTTTAGCAAATACATATTTTGAAGCCTTAAAAAATCTCAAACAGGGAAATCCCATCTCAGTAGGGTATTATGGAAATATTAAGCCACGTAATCAAACCAGTTTTTACCCCTTCCAGTTACAGGCTAGAAAATATGAAATGTCATTAATTTTTAAAAAAAGTTTATTTGAGAACATGCATGTGTGCACAAGTGGGGAGGGGCAAAGGGAGAGAGCATTAAGCAGACTCCCTGCTGAGTGTGGAGACTGACAAGGGGCTCCATCTTACCACCCATGAGCTCATGACCTGTGCTGCAACCACGAATGGGACGCTTAACTAACTGAGTCACCCAGGCACCCCTGAAATTCCATCCAATTTAATGTGTAACAGTTCACGGGAGAATTAGAAGATAAGTAAGACATATCCCCAGGGCACCTGGGTGGCGCCCCAGTTGAGCACCTGACTTGGTTTGGCTCAGGTCACGTTCTTAGGGTTGTGAGAAGGAATCTGACTTAGGGCTCTGCGCTCAGAGTGGAGTCTGCTTGTCCCTCTCCCTCCACCCCTCCCCTCACATGTGCTCTCTAAAATAAATAAGTTAGGGGTGCCTGGGTGGCTCAGTGGGTTAAAGCCTCTGCCTTCAGCTCAGGTCATGATCCCAGGGTCCTGGGATGGAGCATCGCATCAGGCTCTCTGCTCAGCAGGGAGCCTGCTTCCCTTCCTCTCTCTGCCTGCCTCTCTGCCTACCTGTGATCTGTCTGTCAAATAAATAAATAAAACCTTTTAAATAAATAAATAAAATCTTAAAAACCAAAACAACAAAAAAATATGTAGTATGATATATAATCCATTTTAATATGATATATTATATACAACACAGCAAATATAACACACATGAACTTATTCAACCCTTATGATGACTTCGTAAGTTATGTATTGTTACTAGAACCATTTTACAGATGAGGAACTGAGGTTCAGAAAGATTTAATTATCCAAAGTCAGAGAGGAGGTGAGGAAGTTTGAACAAACGCAAACGGTTCAGTTTGGCTGGAGAATGGGGGCACTCCATTAGGGTGTGCAATACCTGGCACTTGGGTTTCAGACGGAAGAGCATGAATGCTTTGTCAAAGAGCCTGAACTTTATCATTCAGACTGTGATAAATTATTAAGGCAGAGTCCGGTTACTGGCAAGACCACTGTGGCAGTGATTTTTAAGAGGTGGGATGGAGAATCTGGTTAGGTCTGGGTATCTCAACCTCGGCATATTAACATCTGGAGCCAGATAATTCTTTGTTGAGGGATGACCAGTGCACTGACAATGTTTAGCAGCATCCCTAGCTTCTACTTACTAGATGCCTGCCAATAAAACCGGACTCCCTCCCTTCCAGTTAATAACCACTGAGTTAAGCTAAACCAGGCAAAGGGTATAAAGAGTAAAAGGTATTTGTGAGAAATTAAAGGAAAAAAAACCCTAAGGTCATTTTGGAGGCAGGTCCCAAAGGATTTCACCATATGTGTAATCTAGAGATAAGAAAAATATTAAAACTAGGTTCGTCCTCTGAAATTCTCAAATTATCTGTTAACAAAAAAAAGTATCTGTTAAGAAACAAAAAAGGAAATCTAAGATTACAAGCAATGTTCTTTCATTAAAATATAATTAGCATTTCACCAGTTCTTGAAGAATCCAGAAGACACTTCTAAGATTTTACCAGCCCATCAATAAAAGAACAAGTTTAGATCAGCATTTTCCAAAATAATTTCTTTTCTTACTGTTAAGACTTACGATTAGTAATTCTTTAAGGGATCCGAGTAAAATATACATGGAGATTTTGCACAAAAAAAGCTTTGATACAGATGTGCATTTAAATGTAAAATTAATTTTTTTTTAAGATTCATTTTTTTGAGTGAAAGAGAGAACATTTTTTTGAGTGAAAGAGAGAAAGAAAGAGTGGGGAGGAGCAGACGGAGAGACAAACACTAAGCAAGACTCCCAAATTGGGCTGAGAGCCGGACATGTGGTTGATCTCACCACCTTGCCATCATAAACTGAGCTGAAACCAAGAGTTGGATGCTTAACTGACTGCACCACGAAGTGCCCCTAAATGTAAAATTATCAAATATGACCCTTTTCTTAAGTCTGACTTCTCTGAGGCTGCTAATAAGTGAGCTATACACAGGCCAGATGGCTGTTTCCCCAATCGATTCCTGAATCAATTTTTCATAATTTGTTCTATCCATCTACTACGTGCAGAATCTAGCATTACACGGTATAAACGAGATAGAGAAATACTTAGGCATCCAACATGTTAAGTTTAGTCGAGTCTTTAAGGAAGTTAAAGCCTTAAAGTAGGAAAATCCTATTTGAGATGATTTTATTGGGCGCAGAAAAAAAAATCGTTTTCTCTGATAAAAAAACGTTCTCACACAGCTCTGTTAACAGAGCAAGAGCTCACGTGACATTCAAGTTTAACTTCAGCACAAGAAAGCAACAGAAAGGAATGGGATTTCTAAATTAAAGCTCGAAGAAAACAGCTACAAACACACTCTAAGATTAAGGTGGCTTCTGAATCCTCACCTACTATTAAACACTTCCATTCCACCCATCTTCTTAGTTCTCTCTAGAACTACTCTCCAGCCACCCTACCTAGCACTTAAGGCTATTCAAGCAGTCCAACAAAGGATGGCACTCCAGGGTCTCCAAGCAAGGAGGGAGAGGGAGTGCGTGGGGGCCGGAGGACCGGGAGATGCACCCAGGAAGGCGAGACAGCAGAACAGAGGCGCCTTTTCTGCCACTGGGAACTATGCCAGGCCAACCAGGGCGAAACGAGACGTCAGCGAGGGCTTCACGTACCAAGGCGCGAGACCCTGTCGGGTTCTCGGCGGCCTCGGGCCGGAACACGCACGCCAGGTGCACTGCAGATAATGGAGAGGATCTAAAGAACTCAACGCACGCAGAGAAGCCGCCACCTGGACCTTTCACATACTTACTTTTTCAACTCGGGAGGGTGAGCCTTGCTCATGGTGTCTACTCGGCGAGCTCAAAGACGCCTCCAAACTGAATTCGTGGAGTCCCTCGCGCTCCCGCGGTAGGCCCGGCGTTTCGCGTCTGACGTCATCGACCCTGTCAGCCAATCAACTCTTGGAGGAGTTCACATTTCACCTCGCGATACTTTGGGGGGCACCCGAACTTGTCGATCGATCTTGTGTTTCCGGTTGCGTCGCCACCCACTGGCCTAGATGGGGTTAGGGGTGGGACTAGTCATCTTCTCAGTTCCGTTTCCTCGTTTGTAAAATTGACTTAGCGGTTCTGTCTCTAGTCTCTAGGCGGAGCTGGTTTATCCCTCTCTCTGTTGCATTGCCTTGGTTGTCTTCTTCATATATACCGTGAATACAGGTTCTAGAGGAGTGGGCCTCTTAATAGGTCTTTGGCACGTATTCCTACATATTGTCACGCTAAGCCTAGGGTTCCAAGAACATCTTTCGTGACCTCTGGACCCCAGATTAGTAGGGTGAAGTGGCTTCAGTTTCTAGGAATTTGAATCTTGAATGTATTCCCTAATGACAATCCTCCAAATCTTGTAACACTGCCTCCAGAACCCCACTTGATGCACCGTGCTCCAATATAAAAAACGTAACGATCTCTAATATGAGATACTCTTGAAAATCAAGTGTAAAAAGTGAATTCCAACTTGTTCCCACTTAAGTTACCCAAAAGAGGCGAATGCATACGTACGAATAAAATATAACTTGGGATTATATAAGATTTAGGTCACAATAGTAAAGCCATTGTGATTCTAAGTAGGGGATGATTTCCCAAAATTCGATTCATTCCTAATGTTCAGAAATGGCTCCATTTAAATACGAATGATAGTAAAGACTTAATTAAACTCATTACATAGTTGATACTCTCTTGACACTCAAAATCCTAAATGTTGCATTTTCTCAAGAGGGATCATTAATTACCCTTGCCACCTCTTGCTGTTAGTGTTGAGTTGAAGCTAGAATCCTGAAATGGATATTGAATTTTTTTTAGCCGTACAGCATTTTTCCCCCCACAAATGGACTTTAAGTCATTGTGCTGTAGCCTGACCTCAGTTTTCCTGCATTTGAATCATAGTTCATAACTAATTTACTCTTAAATTTTTTTTTAAATTTTCACTCTTCATGACCTCTTAAGAAACTTATTTCACAAACTACAAAGAGAAGCATCCTAAGAAAGTTGTATAGTCACACCCAGACATAAGAAACACAATAGTGGAGGAAAAACTAAACCTTATTTATTTTTTAAAACTGAACCACTAGGAAAATATATCACAGCCTTGAAACACCAAACACAGGCTATATTATCATTTCAAGTAGTAAGTTGGTAAAAAGACAATAAGGTCCTTATCAAAATGAAAAGGTGCTAGAGCTGGGGCAGAACACTGCTTGCTGCAAAGGCCCCAGGCAAAAGTGGTGTTTGGTAACAGAGGGGGGCTTTCCCTCTTTTCCTTTAAAGGAATCACAGCTCACCCAAATCACCTACTTGTTCTCCTTTGACCTTCTGGTTACCAAGGGATTGTCCCAATAGGGCCATATTATTTGAGGGGGCAAAATAAGCAATACTGAGTTTAGGCTTTCATTCCATTCTGTTCTATAAAAACCAGGTTTTTCCAAATCCAGCATCTAATAACTTGAAATTAAGAAGACAACAGTTCCTCCTTCAGTGTACATTCCTGGATACTTGTATATAGTGCAATCAAAACCCCCTTTCGAGGAAGAGTGTCACTGCGAGATTGTCCTGTTGTACTCTAGCAGACAGCCTCAGGGCCCATCACAGCAGCCAGTGAGAGGGAAGATCTGCTTCCCATACCCAGTGTAACATCGCCTGTCATCTTTTTACAGGGTCTCCTACCTAGCTGGAAGATGTAATGGATATTTCAAGAAAAGCATATCCATATCTTGATGGCCAGAAACAGATATCCACAAGAACTGTTCCAAGTTCTTAACTGAACTACCCCTCCCAACTCCACACCTTAAATCAACTTCATGCCCTTATATATAAAATAAAACCAAGCAAAACAAAGACCCAGAAACCTTTTCTCCCTTCTAAATTAGTGACATTGTGGATTTTGTTTTACAGCTTATAGAAAAATGATTTGGTGATCCTTCTTGTAAATAGGAAGTTGGCAACAAACAGAAACATCTTTGCTCACACCACCAGATCATAGGCAGATTAGGAACCTGCCAGCCTGTTGTTACCTGTGTACCGAGAAGAATCTGGTATCTTGGAGGTCGGCTCTGGCTTGGTTCAAGGGAGATCCCTAGTGCTAGGACAAGCATGTGAAATTTAGGCTATCAAAAACTCTCCTGTGCCATCTCTGACCAGTTTTTTCAAATTTTAGCACCAGTTTTTTCCATTTCACTTTTTTAGGTTCGAAACATAAAGGAACCAGTGTCCAGAGGCAAGTGACATGGGCCTCAAACTTGCTGCCATTGTTAATTTCTTCATAAACTTCATTTAAAAGACCCAAACTCCCATTTCTTCTCAAATGGATTCCTGCCGTGAGCTCTGATGGCCAATTGTGAAGACCTCTATTTCCCAATGGACAAGAGAGACTCCTTCATCTTCTTGGTCATGGTCGGGATGAGGTGCATGTGGTCATCCACACACTTGGTCACACAACTCTCCAGCTGCCGCTTCACCTGAAGCTCTTTACTTCCTGCATCTATTGAATCTTTGGCTTTGTCATTGCAATGCATGGTGCATCGGGCAAGGCGGTCCTGTGGCAAGAAGGAAGAAGGTAGAGAAGGCTGAAAGGCTGACCTCCATTTACCAAGTGCTTACCATGTGCTAGGTCCCTTGCTACATATTGTGGCTTGACATATATAATCTTGATCAATTAAAGGGACACTATAGTGCAATTAACCAAGATTATCCTGACTGAAATAGAGGGTAGCATCAGGAGGGTCCAGAAAAAGCATGATAAGAAAGCAGATGAATAACAGAATAAATGATACAGAAGCCCCCTCCAGGAAGTGGGAAGTAACTAGAGGCTGCTGTTGGTCAGCTACAGTTAAGATTCTTTAATACCTGTCTTGCTATAGAAAAACACTCAACAAATATTTACTGAGTGTCTAATATGTGTCAGGTACTCTCCTAATGCTGGGGAATATAACAATGAGTAAAACAGATAAAGTTCTTGCCCTCATAGAACTTACATTCCAGTGAGGGGAGATAGACAAAATGAGGGGAGACGTTGAAGCAGCTGGATATATGAATATGGAGATCAGGAGTGAATTTTGTCTAGAGATGAATGAATGTAAGAGTTGTCGGCCTATAGATGATATTTCTAGCAGATATTTATAGCTATGAGACTAGAGAATTAGATTGAAAAAAGGTCCAAGTACAGCACTAGGCATTCCAATGCTCACAGGTTGGAGGGGAAAAGCAGGAAAGGAGCCCAAGGAAGGATGGCCACGGAAAGAGGTAGAAAACCAGAGTGAGGTATCTTTTCTTTTCTTTCTTTTTTTTTTTAAAGATTTTATTTATTTATTAGACAGAGATCACAAGTAGGCAGAGAGGCAGGCAGAGAGAGAGGGGGAAGCAGGCTCCCCGCTGAGCAGAGAGCCGGATGTGGGGCTCAATCCCAGCACCCTGGGATCATGACCTGAGCAGAAGGCAGAGGCTTTAACCCACTGAGTCACCCAGGCGCCCCCAGAGTGAGGTATCTTGATGCCCAACTGAACAAACTGTTTCAAGGAGGCGAGTGATCACTGTGTCAGTGATGCAGACAGGCTGAGTAAAACGAGGGATGAGAAATTACACTGGATTTAGCTCCATGGAGGGGAGCTCCCAGAGCAGTTCTGGTGAGTGGAAGAGTAAGCCTAATTGGAGAAGACTAAAAAGTGAACAGAAGGAGAAAATTATGCAGCAATTCAAGAATCAAAATGTCGAAGACCCTATTAATAAAATTAGCTGTCAAAATGAACACAAAGAAACCTCTCCGGGTTCAGGATCTTGGGTAAGTCAGTCCTTTGCAGTGTCAGTGATTTTCATAGAAGAATTCCATAGAGCAGAATGTAAAAGTTGTATATTAGCTACAATTTCTCCCATGTGAACAGGATCTCAGGCTTCAAAAAACTGCTTCAGAAGTGGGCTCTGCTTTCTCCAACCTCCAGTCATAGAAAGGGAATAAAATGAAGTTGCGGCTACCCTTTTCTCCAGAAAGAGATACAGTGGATACCTTTTGCTCTTAGTGACCTCAGAGGGGCTTGCGAGGAAGGCATCAACGAGTCAGTATTACTACTCCTTCACATAAATGACTGTTCTTTAGTGACACAGGAGCTGCCCCCTAGGTGTAGCAAACAGGGGTCGTTCTGGGTAGGTGTGTCCACAACAGGATGGCAAGATACTGCTCCAATCTGCATCTCTTCATGACTAGCCTACTCCACTTCCCTGGGGATTCTACTAGCTTAAAAATGAATGAATACATGTCTTAGGAGGCTTTACACTATACAGTATATATATTGTATTTTGTGTCTATGGGAGGGAAAAGGCTCTTGGTCATGAACTCCTTTTCACATCATTTCGTCTCTGGAAATACTTATAGCACTCAACCTCCAGGAGTTTTTCCCAAATTTCAAACCCCATAAAGACTGCCTGGCCACAAGACTGTCCCAAATGTTAAAAGAACCAAGACGCTAAAGCCAAGAGTTTTGAATGAATGCTTGTCATCTCTTGCAAAAGAGCACCATCAAGGCGTGAAGTCCTCTGCCTGGGGCATTTCTCACCTGGAACTTCTCCAGCTCACTGGTCACCAGGGCCTGGGCTTGAGCCAGAGGCGCATGGCAGCGTTCAATGCACTGGTGCACCTGCTGCATGGACGCCTGGCTGTCCTCACAACAGCTGGCACTGCACCGGAACATGAGGCCCTGGGGACGGAGGGCAGAGAGAGAGAGAGAGAGAGAGAGGTGAGGCGGGAAAGCCTCTGGGGCAGAGATAATCATGGAGTGCAACAGAGGAGCATCTCTATTTGCACCTCTCCTAACAGACATCAGGAACCTAAAACCACACATGGGAAAAGTATACTCGAAGCCTAGCAGAAGGTTCCATGGCCTTCTTGCTGCTAGCTCATTGGCACTTGTTGCACCGTAGACTGGGTGAACGGAGAAGGTAGCGGTGGGTCAGACGAAGTCAAATTCTGAAAACCAGGTACCTATGCCACTCGGTTCAGAGGTCAGCAAACTCTAGCAATCTGCTTTCCACCAGGGGGCAACCGATCCATTAATCAATGACTCAAGAAGCGCTATAACAGAAACCCCACAATTTGGTTAGGGAGGCAGGACCAACAGCCACAGACCATTTAGGCGATCAAAGCACAACGGCTTACAAACCAGCGCTGTGTGGAGCGACACTAAAACCGGCATGACATGGCCACTGAGGAAGCCAAACGCTTTTGACTTTCCGGTGTTTCACCTTGGCCGTGCCCTTTCTGGGCCTCCGCCTGCTCACCTGCCGAAGGGGCAGCGCTACACAGGAACGCGGGGAGGGGGTGGACACCGAATGCCTCACACCAAGGGCTTTCTAACACTGGTCCGGGGTCTAACACCCCCTCCCCGGAACTGGCCTGGGGGGAAAACAGCTTTGCGCGTGGGGAGGGAACACAGATTTCATCCACTCGGCGGAAGCTCCAGGACTTCTGAGGGTGAGAGGTGCTTCCGAGAGCGCGGCGGCAACCCCAGGGACGCCCCGACTCGGGTCTGCGGAGAGGCGGGCAGCGGCGCGCCGCGGCTGCCAAAGGAATCGAGGACTGCCGGGACTCCCCGGCCTGACCCCCGCCCGCTACCTGCATCTTCCTGATATTCTCTCTCTCCAGACTCTTCACCATGGAGTCCACTGCCTCCTGTACCCGCAGCTGCTGCATCTCCGCCATTGCGACTCCGCGCTGCACACTCTCCGCGCCGGCGCCCACATGGAGCCCCGCGTTCGGCCCGCCCCCTTGCTGCGGCGGCCGGGGTCACCGCCACCCTTCCCCGCCCACGCCGCCGCCTGGCGTCGGAGAGGAGGAACTGCATCCAGTCCCTCCTGCTGTGCCCCCGCCTCCCCATCAGGCATGTAGGCGTCTGCCCCTCCTCCCCTCCTGGCCCCGCCCCGCACCCCCTGCTGAGACTGAGCCCCTGGGGGCTGGACAGGGGAGCTGGGACTCAGTGTCTCCATCCTGTCCTCCCTCCTTCCCTGTCTTCCTTCAGAGTCTTAAAATAATATTTAATATAATTAATATCCAGATCAAAGCGCAAATCTTAGTTATATAGCTCGAGGATTTTTAACAAACCTTGCCTTTTTGTAGTCAGTCTTCCCCTTTTCTCCCCCTTACTCCCCTACCCTTGACCTCAGGCAACAACTGATTTGCTGTTACTACAGATTAAATTTTCCTTTTCCTTAATTTCATGTGTACGTACAGTCGACCCTCGGACAATATGGGGTAAATGTGGGATTGGGGCCCTGACCTCCACCCCCAGTGGAAAAATCCCCATATAACTTTTGAATCCCCCAAAACTTAAACTAATAGTTTACTGTTGACCAGAAGCCTTATTGTTAACAGTTGATTAAGATATTTTGCTTGTTTTATGTACTATATACTATATTCTTATAATGAAGTAAGCTAGAGAAAAGAAAATATTAAGAAAATCCTAAGAGAAGATACATTTGTAGTACTGTATTTATTGAAAAAAAAAATCCCTATATAAGTGGACTGGTGTGGTTCAAACCCATGTTGTTCAGGGGTTAATTGTACGTGGTTTTTTTTTTTTAATTATTATTTTATTTATTTATTTGAAAGAGATCACAAGTAGGCAGAGAGGCAGGCAGAGAGCGAAGGGGGGGCTGAGCAGACTCCCTGCTGAGCAGAGAGCCTGATGCGGTGCGGGTTCTCCGATGTGGGGCTCGATCCTAGAACTCTGGGATCATGACCTAAGCCGAAGGCAGAGGCTTTAACCCACTGAGCCACCCAGGTGCCCCTCTATGTGTGTTTTTAAGATTGTGTCCCTCTTACACTGCTTTAGCTACTCTCACAAGTTTGGAATATAGTTTGCTCAAACATTTTCTAATTTCCATTACGAACTCTTCTTTGATTCATCAATTATTTAGAAGTGCGTCTCTTAATTTCCAAGCATATGAATATTTTTAAGATAACTTTTCCTGTCAGTTGGAGAGGCGACTGCATTAACATTAGCAAACACTCTCTGCCTTTTGAAATTTGCTGAAATTTGCTTTAGGACGTCAGAAAGACTTTTCTAACTGCCTACTTCTCCACAGCATATGCTCCTCTGTCATGGCTTCTTTTCACACCCTGTATTGATCTGTGACAGTGCTCATCACTACTGCTCATTACTTGTCCTGTGTTCTTTTTTTTCCCTAGATTAAAACCTCTTCGAGGACAAGGACCATGTTTATCTTTTTCATTGTTCCCCCTCAATTCTTTTTTAAAAATACTTTATTTATTTATTTGAGAGAGAGAGAGCGCGCGCAAGAGCAGGAGATATGGGTGGGTCAGAGGGAGAAGCAGACTCCCCAGTCAACAGGGAGCCCCACTCAGGACTCCATCCTGGGACTCCAGGACCAGGACTTGAGCTGAAGGCAGTCCCTTAACCACCAGAGCCACCCAGGCACCCCTGCTCTTCCTTAATTCTTTGTGTTTGGCGTATACTAACCTATTAGTAAAGGTTTGTCTAATGAATGAACACATTTATTTCATTATAGAGGTATTTAATAAAAAATATTTGGAAACCAGACAGAAGCAATAATAAATTGAGAGATTAAAAATTTTAAATCCATAGGTACTACCCTACTATTCTAAATGCCATTGTTGGGATTTTTCTTAAATTTTTTGGATTGAACATGATAAATATTTCTTTATTGAAAGATTTTTATTATTTATTTGACAGAAAGACAGAGAGACGGCGCAAGCAGAGGGAAGTAGCAGGCAGAGGGAGAGGGAGAAGCAGGCTACCCACTGAACAGGGAGACTTATGTGGGGCTTTATCTCCGGACCCGAGGATTATGACCCGGGCCAAAGGCAGATGCTCAAACCAACTCAGCCACCCAGGTGCCCCTAAATATTTATTTCTCATAGGGGCACCTGGGTTGCTTAGTGGGTTAAAGCCTCTGTCCTCTGCTCAGTTCATGATCCCGGGGTCCTGGGATGGAGCCCCGCATCAGGCTCTCTGCTCAGCGGGGGAGCCTGCTTCCTCCTCTCTCTCTGCCTGCCTCTCTGTCTGCTTGTAATCTCTGTCTGTCAAATAAATAAATAAAATCTTAAAAAAAAAAAAAAAGGAAGGAAGGAAGAAAAAAGGAAAGAAAACACTTGAGTGAGTCCTGGGATGGGGGCTGGTAGACCCTCAGGTGGTGAAGCAGTCCAAGAGCTGATTTTGTAGAACCCTAGATTGGTAACCAGAATCCAGAGAGATGATGACTGCATGGTAGGTCCAGGTAGAGAGGTCCTCAGGAAGCCTGAGAGTAGCTCTTTCCCAGGGAGCTACCTAATGATTTCTCAGCAGTGGGGAGAAGCACAGAGCCCACAGGTAGAGAGGCAGAACTGGGCCTGGACAAATCTTGTCACCTTGACTTTGGACTTCTGGCCTCTGGAACTGTGAGCCATTTCTGTTGTTTAAAGCCACACAATTTGTTGTGCTTTGTTACAGTAGCCTTAGGAAATGAATGCGCACATGAAATAATATTTAGCATTACTAAAAATTTAAGAAATAAACAATAAAACAAATCAGTGTTTTTTATAGTACTGTTAAATTTGTTAGATATCAGAATGAAACCAATTGTAGGTAAGAATGAGAGAAGGGATGCCTGGGTGGCACAGTTGGTTGAATGTCCAACTCTTGGTTTTGGCTCAGGTCGTGATCTCAGGATGGTGAGATTGAGCCCCCTATGGGGTTCCGTGCTCAGTGCTGGTGAGGGGGGGGGCTCCTTAAGGCTCTCCCTCTGCCTAATCCCCCAACCATGTTCACAACCCCCCAAATAAATAAATAAATAAATCTTAAAAAAAAGAATGAGAGGAGAAAAGAACATTCATACAAAGTGATGACATAATGATGTGAATGGTGGTGGGGCCTTTGCTGTAGGGCAGGGCTGTTGGCAATATATATAAGCCATAAATATATAAGAACTCGCTGACTCAACAATTCCATGTAAAGGAGGAACCAAGGGAAACAATGTTTAGAAAGACATGAGTAAGTATGCTTACTACACTATTTGCAATAGTCATATTTGGAAACAAGTAAATGTGTAACAATAGGAAACTGATCAAATAATTAATAAAAGTACCACACAACGGAGTGCCCCGTAGGCATAAAGCATGATGTTGCAAGAGTGTTTTTATTGACATGAAGAAGAGATGTATGTTCCATTTGATTCGTCGGTGAAGAAATCAAGTGACAAAGGAACATATGTCATGATTTTATATATATATATGAAATTTTGAAAAGTTACACAATAAAATATTAAGGTTATATATAGGGGTGATGGGATTATAAATGATCATAATTTTCTTCTGAGTGTTTACATAGAGTTTCTAAGTTCTCTGCAATTAACATGTCTCTCTTGGTTATATAATGTCTCTCAAGTTTAAACGTCATCATAATCGATAAGCAAGAGCGAGGATTGATCAGCTCGTGTAATACTGCAGCTCACTGAGCGACACTTTAAAATTAGTACTATTTTTACCATTAGGTACTACCCTCCCCCCACGAAGACTTAAGGTCATGTGACTGTCCAGATGTGCTACTTGGACGCAAGGGTAGCATGGGAAATCTCATCGCATGGCAGCGGGTGATGCGGGTTTCTGTTTTCATCCCGACAGCTTGGCCTGTCTGTAATCATAGCTGTGCCCGGATTGCCTTAATGGCAGTCTTGCCTCACCCAGCTTCCGGAGCGGATGCATTCCTTCCTCCTCAGGTCACAGAATGCTACTTGGATTCTTGAGGGTGTGGCCCATCCTTGCTCCGCACCTGACTCACTTGCTCTTTGGTACCAGCAATCTGATTGCTACCACTGGATTTTACTTTTTGTCTTCTCAGCTCCTTCAACTTGAAGTAAACACCCTCCTACTCACTTCTCCTGCGTTCCTGCCCATGTAAATCCCTCTAGGGTTTAACAGAATTATCTTTCCTCTGTTTGTAACTTTGGAAAGGCAGGTGAACGGGTGTGTGGCAGGCTTAATGGAATTGCCAGAGGACACAAAGCATTTCTGATAGAAGTATCCTGGTAACGTGTTTACAATAGTTAATTGTGAGGATCTGCTGTTAACCTCTCTATAGATACATAGACACACGCGCATATGAACACACACACAATTATGTAAAGAACTATAAAGCACCCTATAATTGTTATCTTATTATTAGGGATGCTTTGAGGTCCCTTTTTTTTTTTTAAAGATTTTATTTATTTATTTGACAGAGAGAGATCACAAGCAGGCAGAGAGGCAGGCAGAGAGAGAGGAGGAAGCAGGCTCCCTGCTGAGCAGAAAGCCCGATGCGGTGCTCGATCCCAGGACCCTGAGATCATGACCTGAGCCGAAGGCAGTGGCTTAACCCACTGAGCCACCCAGGCGCCCCTGAGGTCACTTTTTAAAAGAGTAATTTAACTTTTTAAAATATTTTATTTATTTGACAGAGAGAGAAAGAGAGAGAGAGCGAAAAAGCACTGGGAGCAGCAGAGGGAGAAGCAGACTCCCTGCTGAGGAAGGAGCCCAATATGAGCCTCGATCCCAGGACCCTGAGGCAAAGGCAGACGCTTAACCAACTGAGCTACCCAGGTGCCCCCGAGCTCACTTTTCACTTTGATTATTTTGAGCATATCAATGAAGTAGAAATGAGAGTGTAAGGACAGACATGGGAGTAGCTTTTCCTCTTAAGGAGAGATTTGTGACTGGAACCTAAGCTTGTCAATGAGGGCAGGTCTTGCATTGTAT